AATCTGTATATATAGGCTTTGATGGGAACATTAAAGTAATGCTCGTAAGCCTCGTATGGGTAAGTGTTGAGAAGAATAATACTCAATGCACATACATAAGTCCACATGATGATAGATGCTTATTTGCTCATGTCAGTTTCTGTTGTTAATGTGTATATATAATAATAGTATTGATCATCTTCATCTTTTTGTGCATTGTCAATTTAATATCATACGGAAAGGTAGGGATATTAAGTTACTACACTCGATGAACCACTGGGAAATTACATGTGAAACCTATGTATCGTGTGATGTTGATTAAGGTTTTAGGCTTGGTGTTGATTGGCTCTTTTTCGGTTTTTTTTTTCTTTCTTTTGTGTAAGTAGAAAGGAGAACAAAGCATTGGTCAAGTTCCTGCGGGGGTATCAGGCATGGCGGATATGAACATGGATAACCTTATGGAGGACTCTGTTGCTTTTAGAGTTCGTGCTAAACGTGGTTGTGCAACTCATCCTCGTAGCATTGCTGAGAGGGTAAAAGCTAATCCAATCTCTTCTTACAACTTGTTAAAGTGTAGTGATAAAGCTTATATCTTTACTTTCAGTTCATGGAAGTTTAGCGACAAAAAGATTCTATCTTTAATTTAAAGTTCATGGAAGTTCGTTGATTTAGTGTATGCTTCACTGAGCAGAGAATTGTTCTGTTCCTATCCTTACATGTTTTCTAATAAGTGTTTATTTATTCTACCTTTCATTTTGTAGGTACGAAGAACGCGAATAAGCGATCGGATAAGGAAGCTACAAGAGCTTGTTCCTAACATGGATAAGGTGAATATCCTTTTCAACGTAGATAGATTCTGATGAGCTTGGATTGTCATATACAATTATATTGATTACAATTGCGTCAAAGATTATATATGCTTAAACCGCAGGAGTAACAGTTAGTGGTGAAAATCAAATATTACTGCTGATGGTTGTGATGTAGCTTCATAGTGTCACTGTTGTCAGCTCCGTTAGTAAGTAATTCCTAAAATGTTGTATGAACTAATAAAAATATGAAGGAAAGAATCTTGATAATTGACTCGAATTTTTGTCCCCTCTATGAAATTCTACACAGTGAAAGTATGAATTTGGTTTCCTCTCTATAGATCATGAACAAACTGAGGGAATATATTCGGGCTTTGGCGTGTATAGAGAGATCTTGAATCTAGTCTCTGAGGATTTCTGGTTTACTACTTGTCTTTGTTGCAGCAAACAAACACTGCAGACATGTTAGAAGAAGCTGTAGAATACGTGAAGGTTCTTCAAAGGCAGATCCAGGTATATATCTTCTAAAGATATACACATAAGACCTTGATTAGTAATATAATTAATTTGAACTAAAAATGATTAGTAAAAGGTAAAGTAGAAAAATAATACTGAATACATCCATTTTTAATATTTTGTTGGGATAATTTAGGAGTTGGCAGAAGAGCAGAAGAGGTGCACATGCGTACCTAAGGAAGAAGAATAATGTTTGCTCCTTGATTTTGTTTTATATAATGTAAACTGGTAATGATCTAATCGAAAAATTCGAAAGATGATATTTAGACTGTGAATTAGATGGGTCTCAGGTTGAAAAAGTATATTATTCGATAAAATGAATGTAGGTGTAAAATAATAAATTTTGTACAATAATGAAGAAAC